AAAATTATTTCAAATTTTATATAATGGTTTAACAGAAGAATATCAAGAATTATTAATAAACAAAGAAATTTATAATACTAATTGTGATCCATATGGTTTTGAGGAAAAATATAAAATTGATGTTATAAAACAAAATTATATATTTAATTATGCAAGTTTTTTTAGTCAAATACCTTGTAAATTATTAGCAAATTTTATTAATGATGGTAAAGATAAGGATTATGTTATTAGTTTACTAATTACATATTATTTTAAAAAATTATTTTAAATTTAATTAATAATATGTCTTGTAGATAAATTTCTATTTATATGAATTTTCATAATGTATTTTTATTTATTGATATTAGAAAAATGTTTAAACGTAAATTAGAATTTAATGATTTATCTAATAAAAAATTTAAATTTACAATTCCTACAGAAATTATCTGGTTAGTTCTTGAAAATTATAATTTTGATAATTTCAGAGAATTTAGGAAGATTGCTTTAGTATCAAAATTGTTTTATCAATTATGTAAAGAAGTTATTGTAACGATATATCTTCTTAATAAAAATAACATGAGATATAGTTCTGAACCGATTCATAAATACCATATTAAAAAAAATAATATTGAATACAAGATAACTAAAAAAAGATATACTAATATAAGATCTATTTATTATGAGTAGAGCATTTTGAATACATCAATCACATCATATGGAAATAGTTATTATAGAGCGTATTGTATTAAAAAAATAGAATATATTATTCTGAAAAATATATTTTATGATAGATATTTTAAATTTCCTTATATGATCAAAGACATAAATGATAGAGAAAAGATTGAGGTTTTCCATGTATTTAGTAGCAAAAAATATCTAATAGATAATGAAAAAGGATGTTGTAGATGGAATTTTTGGAAATTAGGATCAATAGATGATGATTGGCATCATTGTCATGATTTAAGTTATCATTTCACAAAATTTATTTTGAAGAAATTATTAATGTTTAAATATCTCAAAGAAAAAAACAACAAAATAAAAGAAATATACGAAGATCTCTTTAAATGAGAAGAATAATTAAATCATAATTTATTTATCATATAATTCATAATTTATTACATAATTTGCTCTAAATAATCATATTTTATTTTAATATTAATAAATTTCAAATATTTAATTGAATAAATCCATAAAATTTTTTATATCGTATAAAATTATTCCTTTATGAAAAATTTTAAAACTTTTGATATCAGAATGAAAAATCATACGTTTCTCATTATCAAATGTAAAAGGTCTAATATTTGTATTGTTTTCAGATTCAAAACTATAAAGGATATCTTCATCGTTAAGTTCATCAAATCTGATTACTTCTTCATAAGTTTCATAACTTTTAATATCTTTAACAATTCTGCGAATTTCATGTTTTAAAAATTCTTCTTTGAAGAAAATGAATGTAATATAACCACTACCAACAAATAAAGAAAAGGAATGAATTTTTTTAAAATCTTTAGTATTTTCGATTTGGAGATATTTTTTATTTTCATTATCTTTAATTTCAAAATATTTTTTATCATCTTTTTCTTCTTGATAATTACTTAAAATGTTATTCATAGTTTCATTATTCATTTCATTTAAATCTTGTTCGATTTTGTTATTCAAATCACTTAAAGATAATCCAGAAATATTTTTTATTTGATTATTTTCTTTAGGTGTAGAACAACCAAATTCTTTTTCAAGATTATTAGGCCAATTTTCATTAAAAGACATTTTTTTTTAATTTGATATTTTACTTTGAATTTGTTTATTTATAAATTAATAAAATTAATAATAATTTTTTTTATGAATTCTATTCGATTTAAAATTTATAAGATATTACACCATGTATATGGATTTAGATAACCCCAACTATTTTATGATGATAATAAATATAGTATTAAATAATAATAAAAAATTTTTTTTAATGTATTGATTTTCTTACTTAGTCGAGATAAAGAAATATTGAGGATTTGGCAGATTTTGTGTTAGAGCAGGCGTATTAATAATAATAACTGGATTTTGTCCAGGTATAATAACATATTCGTAATCTATTTATAAAATTTATTAATAATAATTTAAATGTTTGAGAAAATAATGATCTATTTATATTTAATTATTAATTATAAATATCATAAATAAATCAAATTTATTTGATGATTTGGTTAATTCCAAATGTTTAATATCATTGATTTTCCTAATGAGATATTGTCTGATATATTTTTATATATTAAATATTCGAAAAATTCAATAATTGCTTGTAAATGTTTTTCTAGAATCATTACTGCTCCGGTGTTTAAAACAAAATGGTTCATCCTTTATCATGAATCATTTTCATATAGTGATGTACTTCGATTAGGGTTTAATTTTTTTGATATAGAAGTCATAAAGTTACTCATAGGAAAAAAAGATCTCTTTATTATTCATGATATTATGGATATCGCATTATGTATTGCTATTGATTTACATAAGACACAATCTGATAAGAATCGAGTACTTTCATTAGAGATTTTTACACTTATCGATTGTAAACATTGGATAGGATATTATCATGAACAAAGATATGGTAGACTTAAAATTAATAAAGAAAAGGCGATAGAATATTTTAGATTATCTGCATATGAAGAAAATAATTCGGATGTGATATATCGATATGCTGGATATATTATAAACACAAATAAAAATAAAGAAAAACTCGAAAGGGATAAATGTAAAGAGATCACTGATTTATTCAGAAAATCTGCAGATTTAGAACATATCGATTCTTGTTATATTTACAGATATATTTTATATGAGGGAAAATATGGTAATAAGAAAGATACTTTAAAGGGTTATAAATATTTAAAATCCGCAGCTTTAAAAGGTCACAAAAAAGTGACAAAATTTTTATATAATCCAGAAGAATAAAATAATTTATTATGATTAAAATATAAAATATGCAATATGTAATATATAATTTAAGTTTTACATATGATATTAATTATTTCTTTGTTCCTGTAACAATTATTAATTTGTTTAAATTGATTATTTTTAAATAGTAACATTGAAATTTTACTGATTTTACAGTATCTTTTTATATAACTAGAAAAACCTTTATCACTAATTAAAAAATGAAAATAATTATGTTCAATATATGAACTAGATACAAATTCTATTATTTCATTACAATTTTTTTTTAAAGCTAAATTATTTTTATTCAAACAAACGAAATAAAATTTTTTATTATTATATTCAATAGAGAGATATTGATAATTTATATGAAAGCAAACTCTTTTAATATTAATATAATTTTTTTTCAATAAATTGATAAGAGAAATTGTTGTAGGAGATCTAAAAAAAAAAATAATAATAATAAATTTGTGAGTGTACTAATAAATTTAATTAAATACCAACTATTAATTATCAATAATAATCAATTATAAATAAAGTATATTAATTCTAAATTCCGACTCACAATTTATCTAATCCATTACAATATAATAAAAAATCATAAATTTCTGAACCGTATAATTCTTCTTCAATATCTTCTTTAAGATTATATAATAATGGCCATATATATTTTTTATCTACAATTAAATTTATTTTTTCGATATCATTTTCGAATATATTTCTAAATATTCGTGAAAGTCTTGAAACATGTGAAATAGATTTTATAGTTTTTATTGGTAGATATTCTTCAAAAGGTTTTTGTTTGATTATGTCAAGAGATACGAATGATAAGACATTCATCTATATTTCATCAAGAAAATGATATTTGATACTATTCTCAATTCTTTTCTCATGTTTAGTTTTTCTTTTTTTAATTTTTGGCATTTTTGTATTATTTATTTTTTTTAATATTTATATTTTGATATATTAATAATTAAAATAAGAAATTATTAATAATTAAACAAAATATTATTAATGTATAAATTATTATATAAAGATCTTATTAATTATTTTAATCATTGTAAAATGTATTCGAAAAAATTTTTAAAAGAATCTACATCATTTGATAAGGGATTTAGTTTCAAATATAATATTTTACAATTATGTTCTAATATTGATAATATTGCTTATGATAGATATTATCATTATGATAAAACCAAAAGAATTAACGACAGTGGTTTTGATTTTAACTATCATTATAAAGATAAATATTTTCTTATTCAAGCAAAATGTTATAGTAAATATACAGATTTTTTATATGATAAATATGTAGAATTTATAAAAGATTTAAAGGAGCAACCCAAAGAATATATTGGTATTTTTCTTGTAGGAACATATTCGAAATATTCAGTTTTGAAAAAAAAACAAAAGAGTATTGCTGAAACGTTAAAAGAAGAGACAAAGGATATATTGAATGATTCTGGACATAAAATTATTATATGTGATGATTATGAATTAATAGATATTATAAAAAATAGTACTAATCTAAAAGATGAAAATAAAGAAATTACTTCTTCTAAGTTACGAATTTTTAAATTATCAGAAGAGGAGGAACATGAGTTTTTATTGAAATTACATAGTGTGATCAAAAGAAAGGATGAATATGAAAAATTATTAGTATTTCTTCCTTCTAATACTAAATTTGTAAGAACCAGATATTAATATGAGATAAGTGAAGAGGTTAAAAAGATTGGATATGCAGGATTTGATTTTGTTGATATAAAGAGAAAATATGTTATTAGATATGAGATAAAGAATGAATTGGAATATTTAAAGAAGTATGTTGATGATTTTGATATTTCTTTAAATGTTTTTCCAAGTAATATTCAGGGTGTATTTGTAGTTCCAGAAAAGTTTCAACTTGATATTCTTAAGCATATTGTAAATAAGAAATATGTACATAGATTATATCTGATAGGAATTAATATTTAGGAAATTTATTTATAAGATTTCTAAGCAAATTAAGAATTGATATTATTTTATATTTTTTTATTTAAATTAAAATATAATATGAGAAATAAGTTATGAAATTAAATTAAGAAGTTAAGATTTTCCACAATCTTTGATGTTTGTTAATTTTTGTCTTATGACTACAATCACATGTTTGTTGTCTTTTTAATGAATTGTTTAAAAGTTTATAAAAATTTTCACGTTCGAAATAATTCATAGTTTTGGATCTTTTACTCAATGTTTCAATAATTTCATCAGCAACATCTCTTTTTCATTTATTGCAATTGTTACTATATGATATTTTTATAATTTTTCGAGGTTGAGGTTTTTTTTGAAAAATAGAAAATATTTTATTTAAAAAAGTTTATTTATAAAGGTATTTATATTTTATTCATTGACAATATAATTAATAATATAAACTAAGTAAATAAATTCAAGAAATCATCTGACTCAAAGATAACATTTTTCTCATAGTAAATTTTTGCTACTTTAATATCGCTATTTAATGAAATATAATTATCTTGAATCAAAAAAGAAGTATCATCATTACTAATAAAAGAAAAAGAAAATCCTAGTTTGAAAATATGCTCTAATTTAATTTGTTCATCATAATTATAAATTACCATATTGATACCTAATTCTTCTTTGATGAATTTAAAAACGTAATAATTATTCTTATCAATCACATGATGAAAATTAAATTTTTTATTATCTTTTGTGAAATTTCGATAATCGAAAAAAGTATCATTTTCCTTTTGTTTTAATTCATCAATCTTCTTTTTTAGAATTTCTTGTTCTTTTTCAAGAACATCAATTCTATTATTTTTTTCTTCATCTTTTGACATTTTAATATTTAATTATTAATTAATTTAAATTGAAAAATATCTTTTGATTTATAGCTTTATCTGGATTGAATAATTATTAATAAAAGATTATTAATAAAAATAATTAAGTTACACACTAAAACATTAATTATTTTTAACAAAGTATTTTAAAATAATTAATTAATTAATTTATTCTATATTAGAATTCTTTTCGGATTTTTACTATCTGATATTTATTAATCATTATTTATAAAACTACATATTCCAACATTCAAAAAATAAAATATCAAATTGAATTCTTACCTATAAAAAATTCAAAATATTATAATCAAATATGTCAAAACAAACAAGTACTGTATTATTTTTTGAAAGCGAAACAACAAAATTTGAAATATATAGAAGAAGATCTAATTTCATAGATTTTGCTAAAAAATGTTCAGTAATCCATGATAAAGAAATGAGAAATAATTTGATTATGAGATTCAAAAAAAAAATTATGGAAATGTTAGAAAGAATTGAAGAAAGTAGAAAATATAAATTAAAAGGTCTTAAAAAGACAGAAATTGACGGTTTTGAATTTGAAGAACCGATTTTTGAAAAATATGATGAACCTATTAAAGAATTGGATGAAGAAGAAATCAAAAATGTTAAACAGTTAGAATTGATTTTTTCAATTTGTGAATCAATTGAAAAAGATAAAAATATTGACAAAAAAATTAAATATAATAAAGTTCATAAAGCCAAATTTGATGATATTGATAGAGTATTATCATCTCCTTCTGATAAAGAATTTAAAATTCGTACAGATTTATCAAATAAACTTACATCTAATATTAAAGAAGGAAAGGAAATTGAGTTTCCGTTTTTAAAAAAAAGAATTGATAGTTTACCAGATTATATTTTTCAACGAATAGATTTATTAAATACTGATCATAGTTTATTAGTTAGATCTGCTTCATTTGATTTTTGGTATTGTAATGTTGTTAGTCCTTTTGGGGATAGATCATCAATTGAAAATTTTTTTAATATTATTTATACGATTTTTGATGATGAAGATATAGAAGATTTATCTTTAATTATCGCAATGAATAAGATAGACTTTGATTATAATCAATTTAGAAAAGTTGAATATGATCCTATTGAAAATGTTAAATATTTATTTGAAAATAACAATAACGATGATAATGTTCTTCCATTTTATAAATTTGAAAAGGAAGAAGATGAATATGATTTATGCGACAAATAACTATTTTAAATTAAATATATTTATTAATATTATTATTATCATTATTTATTACAATTATTATTTATTATATGAATTATTAAATAAACATATGATTTAACTATAAACTAAAATGATTTAAATTTTATTTTAAATAAATTATTTAATAAATTATCTATTTCAAAAATAAGTTTTTTTGACGTAGTAAAATGTGACGTTTCATAAAAAAAATCTTAAATTTTTACACAAAAAATTTTTTAAAACATTTATTAAATGTCATAAAATTAACAATTATTAATTATAACAATGATACATTACCAGATATATCAAACAATAATTAAACTCGAATAATAAATAATCATCGTATTTTGATTATTAATCATAAAGAAAAATTCTATTTAAGAATTAAAATAAAAATAGAAATGATTTTTATAAATATTTTATGTATTATTTTTAATTTTCTTTATTTATAAAATATTTATATTTTAATTATTTTAATTTATTTCATTCATTAACTGTGTTATTATTAGACATTTCTTCAGCTAATCAAGTAATTAATGCTTCTGTATTTTTTTTCTCATCATTTACAATATTTTTATATAATTCGATGATTTCTTGATAAGTACGATGAGTGATTTGATGAAGCATACCCTCAGCTCAATAATGAATACCTTTGTTGTAAGCGTTCATGAGAATATTTTGAACATCATCTAATGCTAAACTTCTTATTTTATTAATATCATCACCATAACAAAGAACCTTCTTAACTTTATTAATCGAAGAAACGTAAAGCACAAGACTTTTTCTTGCTTTGTTTGAATTTTTATTTTTGGTATTAAAAGTACGAGTCCAATGATCGATAGCTTGATCAACAATCTCATTTATTTTTTCTTCAGATAATTTTTCCATTGATGAATTTAAATTTTAATAGATATTTTATTTATACTTTATATAGATTTTTCATTAATAAATAAATTTAATTACATCATATTTAAATATTTTTATATAATCTTAAAACATATTTGAATAATTTATCATTTTAATTATTTAAATTTAAATCATATAAACAAATTTTAAATTTCGTAAAATACTTATAAAATATCGCATAATAATTAAATTCTCATTAATAATAAAAATAATCAAATTCATTTATTTGATTTAGAAATTCGTTAAAATAATATTTTGGAGAATAAAGGATTCTAGAATCGTATATGGTATATTCAGAAACAGAAAAAATTTTATTTTCACAATCGATCTGAGAGTTATCATAATAAACTTGTTTATTATTGATAAAGGTTTTATTTTCAATATATTTATTGTCAAGTTTATCAGTATCGATAATATTAATTTTAGGACGAATTTTTTTAAAATTTTCAATTTGTGGAGGAATTTTTTTTAATTGTTTTAAATTTTCAAGTTTTTCTTTCACCGCAAGTACTATATCAGAATATTCTTTTTTTATATATTCTGGTTCATTTCTCCAACATTCAGAGATAATTTTTGATAATTCAGTTATTGGTAGAATTTCATCATGTTTCAATTTGAATTCTTAGATATACACAATGCGATAGTAGATATAAGAACTAGGTACTTTTTTTAATGATCTTTTTCCGATTCGTTTAACAAATTCATCTTTAGTTATGATTGGAGGAAATGATGGTTTGAAATTTTCCAAATCATTTTTCAAGATCAATTTCATAAAATTATTATGTTGAATATTCAAGATATCCATTGTTAGTTAGAGAAAAAAATATTTTTTTCATTTTTTTTATAATAGTTTCATTACTAATTTTATTGATTAATTACTAAGTATTAGTTTATTGGAAAATATTAAGCAGATAATTTAATCTAATTTTATAGGTATGTTTATAGATATTATTAATTTATAAAATAATATAAATGAATAAATATATTACTAAAGAAATACAAAAATATAATTTTACAAGTTATGAGTAATAATAACTATTTACAATACAAAATACTGAATGAAGTTATCATCAATATATTTAAATATAAAGAATATCCAAAAAATCTTATTGTTGTCTGTAAACGTTTTCATGATATTATAATTGATCCTTCTTTTAAAGTTGAATGGTATCATCATAATGATTTTAGCATAAGTGAAATAATAAAATTAGAAACTGAATTTTTCGATAAAGAAGTTATAGAAATTCTTAAGAATAATGATAAATATAAAATAGAATATAAAGCATATGAATTATCATATAGATATTTTCAAGTAAAAAAAGAATCGAAAAATCATGTATTTTTTTCTGAAGATATTGAGATATATTTTTTATTTGTTATTTTTAAAATTTTCTTATCTTTAATATTGTCTTTATTTGTTTTATTTTTTATTCGTATTTCTTTATGGGATTTTTTATTGTTATAGTTTATTACATATTTATATTGGTTGTTATGTTATTATATAGATTTTTTATTAACGAATAAGTTTAATTATAATTTCATACAACATATTTTGTATAAATATAAAGAAAAAACATTTTTATTTTAAATATTTAACAAATTATAAATGTTATAATATTTTTTTTTTCATTTGAATTTGATTAAATTTAATATTAGTTATTATTGTTTAGTCCTAATTCTAAAAATATTTAAATTATAAAAAAAATGATATTAATAATCTTAATTATTAATCAATTAATAAATGAATTTTTTTAATTATTAATTTTAAGATTATATATATAGAAAGAATTTTAAAATTTATTATCATTAAAATATCATCATATAGTATTATACATTTTTGTTATACTTCATTTCATTGTTCAAAATGTCGAAATCAATTCAAGTATAAAAGAAATATGAAATTAACATCAAAAGAACAAGAAGATTATTTTAGAGAAAATAACAAAGAAAATCCTAATTGTGATCTTTGTAATTCAAAGCATTTTAGATGTAAAGAAACAACTTGTACTCAATGTTGTAATTTGAATAAGTGTAATTCATATCCATGTAAATTTTGTAAAGATGAAAAGATTAATTGTGAATATTCAATTATAAGAAATGAGGAAGAATTTGAAACATTTAAAGAATTGGGAATGGAAGCTTATATTGGACAAATAGAAAATACTAAAGAAGGAAAAGCTCATATTCATGGTTTTTGTGAATTTAAAGAATTGATTTCAACAAAAAAAATAAAACAAATGTTTGGTGATTATCATATATATATATCTTTGAGATTACGAGGTAGTGTAGAATCTAATATAGAATATGTATCAAAACTTTATAATCATTGTGAAAAACACAAGAAAAAATGTAGATGTGATTATTTTGACCTTAATCATATATGTGAAGTTTGTAATGATAATTGTCTAGTGAGAACAAGAGCTAGAAGAACTGGTTCACTTAATTTAGTTGGTCTATTTAAATATGGAGATTTTAGTAGCTTTTTATAAATTTTATATTATTTTTAAACTTTATATTTAATAAATTATTATTATTATTTTATTCAATTTTTTTTTTTTGTTACTAAGGCCATTTCCTTGGCCGATTAGATTTTTATTAGTTTGTTATTACAGAACTATTACATGAACAGTTTCCTAAGGTTTATAGTTATATGATGAGTGTACAACAAGCTACATATACAA